TGGTTATGGTGGTTTAAAAAAATGATTCTGTGCAAAGGACTTTGCAAAACTGCTGAATTGCAAAAGTTCTGAACTGGCTTTGTCTCTGCAAGTTAGAGATTTTTCTTCATGTGTGAACCACCTAATATGAGTGACTGGTAGCTGTATAAGTGAACTATTTTCAAGGATTTAGCATTAATTCTGCTCTCTGTAATTCCTGTTGCTCCTTGTACTAGTTACTAAATAAGTATGAAGTGTAATGATTTTGTCATTTACAATTTCTGTAAGAATCCAGATGTTTGAAAAAAAATATTTTGTTAAGAAGTAATTCACTGGGAACATAAGTTTAATATTGACCTTTCTCAGGCCTTAATCATCTTTAATAATTAAGATTTTTGGTGATTAATTTTTATGATTGCTCTGTTTAAATATCAGGTTCCCGACTGCACTATGACTAAGTAGCCTGGGTGCAGAAAGAGTTCAGCATTCATACAAAACTGTCCTGGGGATTAAATCTTGAGCAGCAAAACTCCAATTGTCTCCTGAGCACACACAAATGCACATATAAAGCTACATGTGTAACTTGTAAAGGGGAATCAACAAGTAAAAATCACCTCTCACCTTGTGCTCTCTCCAGTGTCTGTTACATAAGAGATGAAATTAATGGAAATAACTGTTAGAAACACTGAGTACACAATCTTAGTTTTACTTACAGTTTGCACAGAAGGGCATATATATGTCAAGTGCCACAAAGGAGTGAATTAGGCCCCAAAAATCTCTACCTTTTAACTCCAGATGCTTTTTATTTTATTTTTTCATTTTTATTGACAGAAACAGAATATTTAGAATTAAATAATCCACATGTAAACAATTATTTTATATTGATTGGGCTTATCTCCTGAGCCTATTGAATCTTTGCAAAGCTTATGCAATAGAAAAATATCCTCCGTAAGTCAACTACTATTTTTCTTAAGGATGATTCATGCTGAGTGTGACAAAGTGGCAGAGGTACCTCTGGGATTCCAGCAAGCTCCTCAGTGTTATGGTTATCTGCTAAAAAGTTTCTCTGTTCCTATCAGTCTCAGGAAAATACTATTTTTCTAGTAATTCAAAATACTTTGGATAACTGACTTTCTGATAAGCCAGGGCCATAATTAAACTCCAGTGAGTTTGCTGCATCCTTTGCATCCTGCAGCTTCCAATACCTGTTGGGATCCACTCTTTTTTGTAAAACATCTTTTCAGTATCTGTATTTCCTGAAAGGACCAGATGATTTATAAGTTAAAAATATGAAATTACTAATACATAGCATGTTATGGAAAATTACAGTTTGTAATTTATATCAGTTGATCTGTATGGGCAATCCATTAGAAAATTGTAACTAAAGAGACAGAAAAGAAAGGGTGGAGGGGTTTCTGTGCTTTTCATTTTGTATTTTCTTTCTAAACGTTCCATTTAGTGAGTAATTATTCCACGCCCCCTCTACTCCACAACATGAATACTCTAACAGCTTGATATATACTCCAATAAGAAGCTAAGCAGGTTTTTTGGATGTTACAGGTTGTTTATGGTAGTGAGGAACACAGTTGTATTTTAAATATGCAGAAAATATAAAGCAGAATTTCTCAGTTTAGTGGAAAAAGAAAAACATAGACAATCCCATGCATTGCTGCCATAAAGCATGACTTATAAGTGCATAAAAATAGTGTAAATGTTGAGTTCCGTTCTTTAAATCTTCCCTTGCAGAATGGGATGTTTTCTTTTTTTGCATGAGAGGGAATAAAAGTGCATGAATTTAAAAAAAAAAAGAAAAGAAAAAAATACAGTTATTACATAGAGCAATTTCTGATTCATGGAGACCACAGTCTGAGCAGCCTGAGATTTTAGCCAGCTGAATTTCATTGAGAACTTGGAGAATGAGAGAAATGGCAGTTACAACATAATTTATCTTGATAACCAGAGAGAGACTCTCTTACCACATTCCCATAGTGCAAATATTTGTGTGACTGTGTTTTCTGGGTTCTTTCTTTGCCTAATCAAAATCTTTGACAGCTTTCCTGTGTGCCTTTCTAATGTGGATTTCTTCTGGGCTTTTCCTAGACAGGTATTGAAGAACGTGAAAGAAAAGCACAAAGGTTTTATTTCTCCTGTTTTATTTCCAGGGCTCCTCCTTGCCTTTACCTGCTGGGTTAGAAATGCACACACTGTGAGATAATACAAATAAAGCCACAGCACATACAAAGGGCTTCAGAGAGCAGAGCTCCTAACAGAGGGGCATTATTTTGTACCAGTGATTTGGGAATATGGAAAAGGAATGAAAAGTCTTGTTTTAAACTTCTGATGTTACTCAGGATTCTGTGGAGTGTTGAATTCAAATGTTTGATATTAAATTGTTCAAATCTAAAAGCTAGTTAAGGGACTTTGCAAAGGTGTGTCATTCTGTCAGTGATCAAATGTATAGAAGAATATATCTGATGTCAAAATGGATGAAAATTCATAATGGATATGTCTGAGTTTCACAGGGCTTTCAAGAAGTGAGAAAAATCAAAACACTGGGTGAGTATGTGTGGGTTTGAATTTAACTTAAAATATGAAAATAATTTCAAGATTAAAAAAGAATCTTTGAACAGCTGTGGTGTGTCAAGGGCTTGAATGGATAAAGGGGAAATAAGCCAACAGCAACTGAATATTTGTAAGGATTTAAAATATTATATAAATAACAGTGCCGTGTCCCAGAGCACAGCAGGGATGTGAGGGGCAGGTTTGGGCAGTGGTCTGTGGTGGGGTTCCAGGGGAGCTCTTTTCCACAGTGTTGTGCTCCCTGGCCACGGGAGTTGTCCTGAGTCCCCTCCTGAGGCTCAGCCATCCCTGTAAGTGCTGCTTTGGGAAGGACACAGCTGGTCCTGGTCACAACTGCTGCTGGCACAGACCCTGGGACACCTCGGAGCACAGTGTGTGCACAGGAGCCACTTAAATGCAATTTATTCTCGAGAGACAAAATACTATTATAAATTCTCACTAGGAGAGAAAAAGTGCTGTGCTGGAGGCTTTTCCTCAAGCTTCTCAGGAAATACTTGGTGCTTATTTTAGCACTGAGAGGCCAACAATCATAAAACTGTGTTTTACCAAGAGGCAAGGCAGGGAAGGTAGTCAGTGTCACAAATTATCTTCTTATCAGATTCAGGTTTGCTATCCCACAGAGTTTTTCCGAACTCCACATTTGCAAATTCCATTATAGCAATCAAAAATTCCATTTCAGCAATCTGGAATTTGTCCCCTTCACTTGTGAAGCCAAATGAGAGGGAATTCTCTGTATATTTCCAGTTACCACAGAACTTTTTGTTTTACAGTAGTCTTTAGAATTCTTTTAGAATTTCCTTTCTTTTGAATAATTTTTTTAGGAAATTTAATGAATTTGTCTTTCAGTAAGGGGGCATCTTTCTTTAATTCTTGCTAATACAATTGTATCAAATATAATATACTTTCATAATAATAATGAAATGTTAGAATGGAGTAGAGAGATAGTGACAATAACAGATTGAAAAACTGTAACACTAAAATTGTATAAAAGGCCTACTCATTATTTACAGTCAGCTTGATGTTATCAGAGATTCTCAATACAGAAACTGTAGCAGGATTTTTACAGAGCACATGTAGTACTTACCATCTTATACATTCCTTACAATACAGTTCCCAGATATTATGAAGAACCAAAAGCAAAAAAAGATAAAAGAAAAATATGTTCCTGCTGGTGAGTTTTTTGTTCCTTTTTTTTTGGTTTGGTTTGGTTTGGGGTTTTCTGAGGGTGTTTTGGTTTTTTTGTTTTGGGTTTTTTTTTCATGAAAGGGTGGAACTTTCCTTTCAAAAAGATGAAATGTATAATAATAATAATAAAATAGCAGACTTGTTGAGGCAAACACATTGAAGTCATTCAGAAAAATAACTGCATGACATCATGGGAGAAAGATAGAACCAAAAAAGGACAAGTTTTGTAGGCCAAATAGCTTCTATTCATCCCCAAAGAATTTGTCCTACTCGCACAAGAATTGGGAGAAAGAAAGAAAGAAAGAAAACTTTCATCCTTGGAAGCTCACAAAACACAAATATGTTGTCCCAGATAGAAAAGGTCAAGAAAGTAAAAAAATAAAATGAAGCCATGACTCTAATCAGGAATGCTCACTGAGAAATACTGACTTGTGCTTAAAAAAGCAGAGCTGAAAGTTCCTCCCAGTAATCCAAAGAACTCCTGGAGCCATTGTGAATCACTGTATGCTCTTGTTATCTTACATTTTCAGCAAACTGGTATTTGCATATAAAAGGATGATTTTTGACACATTTTTCTATCTTGATCGCTCAGAGCAGCGGGAAGAGTTTTCCACCCTTATGAATTTAGCAAGGTGATTCCCAGGCACTTGCTTGGCACTAGGAAATTTCAGAGCCATGAGCTGCTCCCCAGGCTGATCTGTGCCCTATAGCTCATCCTGCTCTTAGGCACATAGTGGTGTCTGAACTGACCCACCTGGTTCAGGAGGAAATGAAGCATTTGGGTTCAGAAGGCTTCCAGGACTGAAGCACTACATGATCTCAGCTCTTATGCCCCTGACATATCCAGGCTACTTTGAAATAAATGCTCTGCTAAATACAATGAGGGAAATCTTGCTCTTCTCCCACAACCCTCTTTATCTGCCCTGTTTATTTACCTGTCCTATTATTATTTTGTGGCTTTCTGTGTTTCAAGGGCATCTCTCTCTGGACAGAGACCTGCTACCTGCCCCTCTGTTGCCTCTACAGTGTCTAATGATGGCCAGTTGTCATTCCTCCTGTTGATAGCAATTTTCACATCATGGAGTTCAATCCCCCATCTTTATTAGAAATCTTATTTGTCCTTGAACATGTGCAATATTCATAAAAATGAATTTATTATCAAATTAACATATAAAAGTCCTTGAAACTGGTATTTTTGAAGATGTTGTTAAACTTACGCACTATGTTAGTCACAGCATTCTCCTTTTATCACACAGAATGAAGGAGCTGCTCTTGTTGAGAAGAAAAGAGAACAGCAAAGAAAAAGGTGTCAGAAGTTTGCAAAAGCAGGAAGGTGATATCAATAGGGAACTGGCTGTGTTATCTGAAAGGTGAAAAGGAACTGGTTTAAATGGATACGCTGGACAACATTAGGATAGCTGGGTACCTTTTAGTGCACATATAAAAATAACTAGATTTATTTTCCTGAATCAGTCCAGCGGCACCTTCAGAAGGAGGTTGCAGGTTAAAATAGCATCATTGTCACACAGGAATGTAATTTCCAGAGTAACACCTAAGGCTTCACAGGTATACTGTGATTAAGAGCAGATTTGCTGACTTCCTGGCATATAGACTTTGATAAGTTTTATTGATAAAATAATGACATTGAATATTTGAGACACTTTTAGCTTTGTGATTTAAAACCAAACTACAGTAGTCCTAAAGCTCTAAAACACTAGAAAGGAAGTGCCATTCTTAAAGAAACTCACTCAGGTTGTGAAATTTGCTCTTTCAGACCATGCAGAGTTTTAAGGCAGCAGACCAAATGAGACTGAAAATGTGGCTGCAATGATGAGCAGTGCCATTTGAATGTTGTACAGCCTCAATATGAGGAGTAATGTGAGATTTCTAAACTTCTGGACCCAAGCTTTGCACTGTGGAAACATGGTATTATTGTTACCAATACTTTTGGCTCCTTTTATTTATATGCATGTGTGCATTTAAAATCACAGTTGTACTGTGGTGTGTATATATCACAGGCACTTCATGTGTGTACTCCTAGGGAAAAGGTTTTAATGTCAAGGAACATTTCTGACTTGTGAAGAATGTGAGTCGAACCTTTGCAGCAATTTTTTTGGTAAGACAAGGTGCATCCTTCATGTGGCTGTTGGAGGGAGGTGAAGTGAGATTAACTTACACACATTCAGGTGAAATCTACATTTAGCTGCAAACTTGAAGAGTAAATTAGTTTAAAATAATTTTTTTTGCTACCATTAGGCTTACAAAAAGTTTCTGTAGTAGCAATGTTGTTGCCATGATAGTCTTCAGTGCTGCATATGTGCTACACAATACAAATTGGCCTACTGCCTGTAGGCTTACATTTGGTATGCAGCTGTCTGTAGTTCTGAAGGATTAATTTTAGGGAATTTCCAATTAAAAAAAAAAACAAACCACATTAATTTCAGAGCTATGAGTTGTGCGTATCCAAACATCCATCTCTGATGGACCAGTTCCCTGGTAATTTCTGTGACCAGAGCCTGTTCTTCTGATCCTTGCTCAAGAGAGAGTTTTTATCTCTTCTCTAGCAATGTTCTCACCCCACCTTTTAAAAAATTGGCTATTTAGTCTCAGTTAGTTACTCAAGAGGCCCTCAAGAGTCAGTCCCCACCCAGTGAAAGGGCACCTTTTTTTTTTTCCCCTCGAGTAGTCACTTCCAGGAAGCAGCTTTTCTGCCTTCCATCTCTTTCCCCAGATTGTACAGACAGTGCAGATTTAGAGAAACAGTATTTTTTGCATATCTACAGAAAATTAACCCCCCGAATCATGATAGAAATGCTGCTTCTTGTTGTTTTCTTACACCGATAGAAAGCACTGAGAAAGTCTTCCAGTGAGTATTTTCTGAAGGCAGAGTCCTCTTTAGAAAGCCCACATGAAATAGGCTTGTGTGGTAGCAACTAAAAAAAAAAGACCTTTTCTTTTGCACTGTCCAGAAAGAATTCCACATCCTTGTTTCTGTAATTCACTCTAAAAATGTAATTGAATGACCCTGCAGATTGACTTAGTAAATTGTCATCTAAATGCATTGAGCAAAGAAGTGTTTACTGTAACAGTCCAGAAATCTTTATAAATGTAATAGTTAATCCCTTACAATTCAGGTCCAAAAAAAAATGTGTGCCAATATTACTGTCTCATAACTGAAGCATATTCATCTTTCTACACAGATGAAATGCATTTGTCATATTTAGCAGGAGATCTAGGGAGAAAAACACAGCTTTCTGTCTCAATCTTTAGTATGAAAAAGGCAGTTGTAGTGGGACATTAAAAAAAAAAGTCATGACAATTTTTTTTTTCATTTAGATACAAAGAAACCCCACACCACAAAGGTGTTCAAGGTCTGTATTAAGGAATAACTTTCAAAAACTTATGTTTGGGATTCTTTCAATTGCCATCACTTTAGAGACTGATTACCAAAATGAGAAAATGATACACGGAGAATAAATAGAAGAACATTCAGTGTTTCATTTTTTGGCATTATTAGCACATTTTAGATGGCATGTACTTGTAAAAATCAGAGCAGGCCGTTGGAATTTGGATTAAATTATATGTTTGATTTCTTCCAACAGAGATAAATTAAAACAAATCCTGTGTAAGCTGGTTTGAGTTCAGCATTTCGCAACCGATGTGGTTAAGTAAGTACTGAACTAACCTATACACTGTGTGTCAAATCTGTTCTTATAAACTAATGCTTCTGAGTATATAAAAAGCACTTCTTACTGTTATGTTCCAAATGGCCTGTGTGGTAATACATAAAATAAACATCCATAGAGAAAAAAAACACTTTTAGTTTCAATAGCTTGTAGATTGAAGTTAAAAAGAAATCTAAAATTCTCTGCAACAGGCAATTAATTTTAACCCATAAGACTAATAAAACAATGGCAAGCATGCAACCTACCTCACAGAAAGATGATTTAATGTCCCTACTGCTCTAAAAAAGACAGTTTCACCTGTTGCAGAGCTTGTCTGAAATCCATTTATTTTTGAATTATCAAAATATGCCTTGGTATAAAAAGCTCAAGGTTTTATTTCTTTTTTTTTTTTTAAAGTCATGTGCAGCTATAAAGGTTTTGCTTCTATCCATTGGAATATAAATAACAGTTTTCATAAATCATGCGACAATGTTATTGTAATGGATTTTAGGCAGGAATTGATTGTATTTTCTTTCTTTAAATATTTTGAGGATTAGCAATAGGAACAGCAAATTTTTAATAATAATGCCATTAATAACACATTTTTTAATAACATGGAAGATTTTAACATGGTTAGTGATAGGATAATAAGAACTTGAATATTGTGGAGGATGGTCAAAAAGGAAGGAGACAGTGGAACACAAAGCTGCTACAGAAATTAATCTGATGGAGCTGTAAAGGGTAGTCATGCATGTTAAAGACAATATAAGGTCAAGAAGAAAAATGGAGAAACAAATCCATTTTAAAAGCACTTAATCAAATTAAATGTCTTTTACTGTTACAAACTGCAAAGGACGGGTGAACTTTCCTGTGACTTAACTGCAAATATTACTTTTATTCAGAGATCCAACTCACTTCTCTTTCACTAAGTATAAAAATAAAAAATTGTAGAATAAACTAAGAAAAATAATTTGCAGTCATCCAGAAGTTAAGCAGGAGGTGAGTAACAGGATGGATTTGTGAACAGCAAACCATGGTAAGCAAGTCTGATTTCCCTCTACAACAGGGGAGCAGCTCTTCTGAATGAGGGGTAGGCAGCTGTATATTTTAATTTTAATAAGGCTTTTGAAAAATGTCTCAACATTCTTATAAACTATCTGGGGAAATGCAATCTAGGTCATACATTAAGGGCTGTATGCCAGATTGAATTTCCCCCTCCAAATTATGCGATTAAGAACCTTGTGCAAGTTGTGAGATGTCACATCTCACACGAGATGCTTCTTACTGGTACCACGTCGCCTCTGAGAAAGAGGTGGCTTCTCATACACATCCCTGCCAGTGTGCTGGGATTCCTTTTGTCGGGGAGAGCGTGGGGAAAGGGGCAGAAATGTAGGATGAGAGTGCTGTAACAAGCTCAAAGAGGCTGAGCTGTTCCCCCTAGCCAGCTTTATTAGCTCTCCTGATGACAACTGCAAGGGCTGCTGAAAACACAATATTTATGGAATGCGGTCTCCTTTGAACAGGTACAGTACAACTCTGCACCTGCCTTCTGGCCTTCCTTGCAGGAAGTTTATGCATAGTCTTTTGTGTTACTCTTGCTGTAGATTTAGGGGTGGTTGAAAAGTACTCAAAAATTATGGTCGACTTGGTGGGACTTTACAGAGGGGTCTTGTACATATATTTTTTCTGTTTTGGTGTCTTGAATGCTAGAATTGAATGTTAAAATGTAATTACTGAAGAATCATGAGACAGAGAGGAGCTCCCAGTTTGCACACAAAAGTAGTTGATTAGGTCATGAGACACAGCACTATGGAAACCTTTTTCCACTTGGTCCATAGCAAGTGGAGAATGCTCAGCAGTGAAAACGTAAAGAGCTGCATATGGAGTCACTGCTGACAGCTTGAGAAACAACAGGTGATAATGAATCAGCACCAACAGCTAACTGCTCATTCTCTGCTCAACTGTCAGAACAGCAAAGCTTGGCTTAGAAGTGCAAGAATTAATTAGTTGATGTCAGGAATAGAAGCAATGATGGTTAATGTGCCACCTGGGCGTATTCATGTCCACTGAAGGCAGTGGATGGTGCTGATATCACCACCAATAGAGAGCAGGACAGAACCAAGCAGCAAACTAAGTGACCTGGCTTTGCTTCTGAGTTTGTTTTGGAGGTAGATCAGGAGCAGAGTTCTCTGTCTGCTGAACAACTCTGATCTGTTACTCATCAACTAAACAAGCCAAAACAGAATAAAAACAAAGCAACTCACCACCTCCAAATGGAGTGTGGGTGTCAGCTCTGCTCAGCTATTCGCTCCAGAGTGAACCTGTCAGCCCGCACGTCCTGACATCGCTGCACGGGGGAAGAGGATCAAAGGAAAACCTACTGAGAACAACACAGATGAGGTCTTCTGGAGTCCTCAACTCTGAGCATTTCTTGCATGTGAGAACAAGAAAAGAATCTTTATGTAAAGTTGAAAAATACTTCCATAGCACTAAGGAGGAAATGTTCTTCTGTTAACACCCCTTCATTCAGTGATTCACAGACCGCGTCTCGTCCCACGTGCTTTAGGTGCTGGTTTGTACATTTTGAGTGCAGTCATCTTAAGGTCCTGTGTCATCGTCAGAAAGTTACTTTCAGAGTGAGTAACTTTTCAGGGCTCAGCCTTCCTAAAGTCTGAGTTGCCTCTGGAAGTAGCTCTCTTTGTGGCTTGGAATCACTCCACGGCTGGAGCTGATGTGATCTCAGTGAGGTGCTCTTGACAGGTATAGGATACCTCTGGCACAAAAGGCTTCTCAGCTTATCCCCACACAAATGCAACAGCTGTATTTCCCCTCAAGTCCCTTCTGTCCCAGAGCTACAGCAATGAACAGGTGTGAAGGATTGTGACAAAAGTGTGTCACTAGCGGAATGTTCTCAGCTCTGGCTATGCTGTGCCAGTAGATAAACTTCTGTCCAGCACAAGAATGAAAAACTGTGTTTGGCCAGATCTGCAGCTGACAGACCCTTAGTCCATGGGATCAGTTTTGGGTATGATTGGAAGTGTAATGCTTAACAGAGTACATTTTGCTTCACTGACATGAACAGAGTCAGTGAACGACTGACATGAGCATTGGTCATGAACAGCAAGCACACTGGGACATGCTGACTGGTCATCTTTGGGGATTGTCTGTAACACTTTTTTTAATTTTTTTTGTTTTTTACATTTTGACTACCAAGCATACACATGCTCTCCTCAATCAGCTTTCTGAGGTCTTCCTCCCTAATGATCATTTTCCAGTCACTGTTGAGCAGTTAACAACAATGAACAGTAAAACTGGAAATAGTGGAGCTTGATAATCATTAATATTATTACTCTAAACTCTGTTTATTTTTTCCCTGGACTCTTTGTAGAATTAGTCTAAGTGGTGGCATACAAGAGATAATTTTAGTAAATTACAGCAAAGCAATTAGAGAATGAGTTTAATTTACAAGCAGACATTTTTTACTGCTATTTTCTGGGCTGCTTCATACCAAATAAAATGTTTGGTTTCTTAATTATAGGTAATAAGAAAAAGATTGAAGAAACTAATGACCAAACCAAAACATGTTTCATATTTGATCATTTAGATACAGAGACAAATTAAATTCCCTCTCATATTACAAAAATTGCATTAAAGCTGCTCTTACTTACAGTAGCTCTTAGTTCCACAAACGTTGTATCTTTAAAATGAAAGTTCAGTAAAGTGGCTTAAAGTTACATGAGGTGTCATTTAAACAGCAGAGCTCACACTGAGTGTGGCAAAGTGTCCAGGAATGTGAAGGACCTTTCAAGGAAGTTGGACTGCATTGATTTGTTGAGCTCTGAATCTGAGGGTGAGCTGAAGGCAGTTCAGAGAAGCAGTGAGACTTTACAGGGATGTTTTTACTTGGAATGGTTCGGTAGGAGTGTACTTAGGATCACAGAGAAAGAGTAAAGGAGCTATGGAGTTAAGGGGAAACTCAGGTGTCCTCCATTGGGATTCCAAATTTCCTCTGCTGAATATTTGGAACTGTCTCGGAAGCAAGGGCTTTCTCACACGTTTAGTAGGTGATCCAGACATTTCTTGATGCAATAAAGCTGTGATCCTGTGCTATCTGCTCCAGGTGGACCTGTTTCAGCAGGGGACTTGGGCTACATGATCTCCAGAGGTCCCTTCCAAGCCCAGTTGTTGTGGGATTGTGCGTGACTGATGCCTGAGAGGGTCTGTCCTGCCCAGCACAGCCAGCCACAGAGCAAGGGATGAGTCAGCCAGGAAAAGCCAACATTTCTTTAACACATCAGATGTGAAAGGAGGAATGGAGAAAAGCTGTGTAAAGTAAAATAAACAGTTAGCAGAAGACCCCAGAGGACTACAGTGGAGGTGAAGAGAATACAGTCAGCCTTCAGGAAATCTTGGTTAAACAACATTGGGCTGAACAAGACAAATTGTGGCAGAAGTGTACTGGTGTGATCTGGTTTATTGACAGACTTATCTACAAACATATTGCCTAGCATGGATAATTGTAATGACTTAAAAATCCTAGCTAGAAATTACTACAAGACACTACAATTAATAACTCTCTTTTAAAAAATGTTGATAAAAGAACAGGAGGCAGTGAGACTGCTGTTTTTACAGGACATTAAAGGATAGCTATGAAAACTTTTTGCCCTTCACATTAATATTTTGAATTATGCAAATTATAGTTCTGTGCTTCCCTCCAAAGGTCTGTAGGCAATAAGATTTCTCCTTCCCAATGTTAATTTTTCTTTCTTTAAAGAATGTGTGTACATGATTAAACCAAGCTCGCCCTTCTACCTAGTTTTTAGAGAAGAAGCATCTTTCTATTGGTGTATTATAGGAATGAAGCTCCCTCCCCCTTCACAGGAGATGGCACAATTCAGAAGTTGTTTCAGAACATACTCAGTTTAATTACAGGATCAGTGAACACAGCAACGTTTTCTTGGCAACAGGTAGAAAAGCTGGCAGTTACTCAGTTTCTCTGGAGCTGTTTCTTGGCATTACATTGCTGCATTAGAAACTTGGATTTCATTTCTTACTTTGTTTTTCTCTTTCCCTGCTTCATTTCCTCTTTATCAGTTTTTTTCTAGTGGTACATAAAAATAACATGCTCCATTCTTTGTTCTGAAGAAAGAATAAACTCAGTTGCTTTTTGAATTCATAAACAGTGGTGGGATGTGGTAAGAATCCTGTGCATATACATATGCATTATCTCATAATAAATAAGGGAGCTAAATGAAGACCATGCACAGCTTGGAGAAGTGTAGAATGTTAAACTGATATAATTATCATTGCTGAACTTATATATTAAAATGTATTAAATGCATAAGAAAAAAAATCTGTTGGGCTTCTCATGTAAAACTACTGGTACATGAGGCAAGAGAAAACCCTCAGGGTAGAAAGAGAGAGAACAGCCAACAGTACTTGTGACTTATGTTGGTGTTTAATCACTGCAGCCTTGCTGCCTTATTGAGTGCCCCAGGAAGTTCATTTCTATTGATCACTGCATACACTAAGTTGAATTTAATACTTGGAAGTAGATATAATATATTAATAGCAGTATTTTCAGAGAAAATATATTGTTCTCCTTCCCTTGTCCCTTTGAGAGACTAAACAAAACAAACAACAGAAGTAACTGCTGACTGAGGAGAACGATGATGTAAGTCCTGTGTATCTTCACTTGACAGAAGAGCATAATTTTCCAAATTTTGCAATTCAGATTGCTAGGGTTTTAATACTTTATTGTAGTCATACATAGAGAATATGAAGAATTAATTAACAATCTGCACTAGAATCCTGATGGAGCTCTCTGGGTAAAAATGTGCTTAATAATATCTGATAGAAGTTTTAGGAAATTATTTGTATGCCTGTCTAGCACTCAAAATCATCACACTTTTGCTATATTCTTGCCTTTATTTTTATCATCGTTCCTTTTAAAGCTATCTGAAAAGAGTTTTAATAATAATTTGCTTTTCATAGATAAAAAGTTGTATTTTTGCTCAGATACATCATTATTTTTGTGTTTGTACACCATATGGAAGACATAAACAGACAGATTCTTCTTAGGAGCATGCTATGCCTGTACTCCGGCCTTAAAATTTCAGTTCATTTTTGTAACTCTGTGCAAACTCAGTTCATCCAAAAGGAAAAACAACATTGGAAATAGTTTCTTTTCTGTCATCTTTTTCTCTTATTTATGCCATTGTAAGACAGTAACTGAATGTGACCCCCACTAATTCACATCATGTACATCATCACTTCTGGGCACAATGTCTCGTTCTACAGTTTCCAGTGTCAGGTTGGAAGGAGTACCCAGATAAGGTAACTTTTTTGAAGTTTTTTTGTCTTAGAAAGTAAATTTGCCACGTTGCTGAAGTAAAACATTTAATTTCTATTTTGAGGTCTGCAAATCAGAATGTAGGGCAATGCTTTATTTGGTTAAGATGTTATGCTGTGTTTTGTTGAATGCAGGGCTTTAGAGTTGGGGTTTTTTCTTATATAAATTGTGAAAGAGGCTGAAAAGGACATTTGTACCCTTCCATAAAAACAGAACAAAATATTTTCAGAGGCAATGAGGAACAGGACAAAAAGAGTTAACAATCAAACAGTATAGCTTCTGGAGAATTTTATACTTCTTCTCTAAACATTCTTCACAGCAGTAGCCTAAAATTTTAGTTTAAATTTTTGCATGATTTTATGAGACTTTTCAGTGTTTTTCAGCAAGTCTGGAAAGGATACATTAAAGTTTTTTCCAAAAGTGTTGCTTATCTATGTCTAGCTCTCACTTAAGTGGCTTGAGCTTATCTCTAACAAATAATGGGTTTTTAAAACTGGGATGGCATCATTCTCTACCCATACATGCTAGATTTTCTGCACAATTTCTGTATACAGTACTGTCAGAAAAACAATAGAACTAGAGAATGTTTCTATGTCTGCAGAGACACCTTCACTCCAGAGAAAGATTCTGTTTATCTGATAAAGTACATAGGAAATATTAAATTCAATGCTCAGCACCTGTGTCTTCAAATAGTTTATTGAATCAGGTTGGTACTACTTAGAGTCACTTCCTGAACTTGGGTGCGAAATTATGCAAGTCCTTGGAAGCAAGACTCATGTTCACCTACTCACTTGCTCAAATGTGTCACTAAATCATGCCTCAAAAAAGGGCTGTACTGAACCTTTATGATATTTTGTGTATTTTTTAAATTTGTAAATATCTCAATATCTCAATACAGTACCTGAATTTGATTTCAAAGGATTTGTTATTCCACTGGTTTTAGTTCTCTTTGAGATTTCATTCTTTGGAGTGCTCAAAAAGGGATTTCCTATTTAATACCACTTTTAGTAGTATTCTTCTCAAATTTGTCAGCTTTGGAAATAATATGAAAGCTGTGTCTTCGATTTTCTCCTTTCATCTTGTTTCTTCTTTTCCTCTTGACTGCATTCTTATAGTACAGTTTATATGATGATGAATGTGAGAGTAACGCCTGGTGATTTTGACTCACTTTGGATGAGAAGTATGAAAGTAACCACCAGTGAGTTTGACTCACTTTTGATTTCCTTTCAGGGCTTTTTGCTTTTATTTTCAGGCTTAATCACTATTATTGTAAAAATATTTGTTGTCTCCACAAAAGTTCCCCAATGATTTTGACTATGCCTTGGGTGTGTCGTGTAATGGACCCACACATACACATGGTTAATTAACTGCCAGTTAAGTACAGAACTCAATTTTCCAAATATAAAATACACTTTTATCCTGTTGTGCTGTGCCACACTTAAAATAGTCTTTGAGGAATTTACTCAATCTTTATTTAGATGTGTTAATGCTGGTAAAAATGCAAAAATATTTTTGGTAGCTAAACTTAATGGGGTAATAATTACTCATTCTTGTTTAACTTCTGCTAGGTTTAGTATCTATATTTGGGGCATGAATATAAAATCTTTCCCGTGCCCACATTTCCAGTTTTAAAGTACTCAGAAGAATCCAGACTTATTCCAGCAATTTTCTGTACTCTAAATCCAGAATGAATATTCTCTTTCCACTTTCAAGTGTTAAAAAATAATTTCTTTTTTTCTTTCTAAGGTCTTTATCTTATTTATTTCTAACAGAATACTCATTTAATCACATGGCATTTATGATGACTTCTTAGCAGTGTGTACTTTTGCAGAGGTTCTAAGTTTGCAGAGTAGAGGCTTACTCTTAGTCTGGTTCTCTTACAACTTTCTCATATTAAACATGAGAAAAAAGCTCTTTCTGAACTGAAATCACGGACATTATTTATAGCTTAATTTATATCCATGTAATGTAGAAAGCAGGCAAATTTGCTTCCAGTTTTTCACATTGATAATTTTCAGTCTACTTTTATATTTTTCATAATCTTTTTAATATGTTGTTTTCTATTAGCTGAGTTGTATTATTGCCATTCACAACATCAAGGCACATGAGAATGAGAAATAGAGGACGGAAAGGAAAAGTAAAAATAAACAACTTATAGTCTTAATAATTCTTAATCAGCTACTGCTTTTGATACTTTAAACATGGTGATAATTAATGTGGAAAGCTCTGGAAGCCTTGGTAAGCTCTCTTGATCATCTGAAGAATGCCGGGACTTATTAGGGCAAGTTCATGATTCATACTCAAGGATTAAGCCAAGAGAATCTTGTGACCTAAGCAGCCTGGCTCTCCAGTGGTAAAAATGGGATTTTCTTATCTTACACAAAATAATAATTGAGACAGAGCAGGGATGGAAGCAGACAGTATACATTGATTTAAGAGTGAGCAATACTTGGTGTGGAGAGAAATTGCCGTTTTGGCAAATTGTTGGTATCATGATGGAAATATAGTACATGAAGTGTTCCATTGGGATGAATCAGAGCATTCCTGAGACACAGTAAAGATGAGAATTGTAACATGAAATGGGAGGGTCTTTTATGTTCAATGGCTGAGTTATCCTTAAAAAATTTTTAGTCATTTGCTTGATATTGGGAAATAGCTCTTCCCAATCACTTAAACCCAAACACACAAACACATGTCACAGCACAGTGACACAGTCAGCACTCAAAGCTAATGGGTGCAAGATTTGGGTGATGACATGAAATTTAAACTTATTTCTAATAGTAAACATTGACTTGACAGAGTCAGTCAGCTTCAATTTCCACTGCTGAGTTAATAATTTGACTTTTGATTTGTATGTTTGGAATCCTGAAACAAAGACCTTTGAAATATGAGCAAGGAAGGATGTAGTGGGTAAGGGAGCATTGCAAACCAGCTCCATGAGACAGTCACATAAACATGCTAATCCCTTTGCCAAGCTCATTGACATAAACAATCTTGGTCATATTTGGATGCCTTGCCACCTCTGTCCTTCTCTCTTCTTCCTTTTTTTTAGTGCTCTATCTTACTGGAAGGGAAAATGAAAATACAAAAGCCAACCATCATTGCTGTTTAATTGTAATCTGATTCCCAAGTATGAGAGAAGTAAAACACTGCTGGTTCGGTGTAACTCCCGTCTTTTCATAATGTTTTCATTCCCTTTTAAGAATGGATGAACATCAGCAGGCAAAAATGTAATCATTGTATATAACTGATGATGCTGTTGGCTTCTTTAAAAGTCATGCCATCAGCTTCCTCAGCCTCCACAGTGCAGAAATCCCTGGCAGGCACTGAGGGAAGAAGTTTCAGTGGTGACCTTTGTGGGAACTGCATAGGTGGGGTCAGAGCAAACTCCCTCCTGTGCAATCTTGGTATGGCACAAATCAGTCACAGGGAATGATGGTGTAAGGGCCACACTCATTCTAATAACATCAGGGGTTTGGATTGAGTTCTCTGGAGGAAATCAGACGTTTAAAGCTTTTTGCAAAGAGATCATTTGTAGGAAAAATTTCCCATCATTACACTCCTGTGCTCAGTTGCAACATCTCCAATTCATGTTTATTCAGACCTTCCTTTGCCATCCTTGAGTTACAGTTGAAATAAAACAGATTATACAGTGGGAAAGTATAATCCATAGCAGTACATACAGTAAATTCCATTAGTACTATAAATTATATCTTTGCTATTATTAGCTAAAGATGCCTCATTTATTAGCATTTATTCCTGTAACCAGTGTATGTAAGAGAGGGTACCTACCCCAGAGAAAAGTGGGCCCTAGAACATTTGTGAGGATTATATAGTCCTTCAAAAATCTATAGTTTGTATTGGAAAAATATTCTATGTTTTCTACTCATATCAGAATTATACTCAGTGTGAATACTTAAAACTCATATACATAATCCTGACATTTGTATGGACATGAATTATCTCTGCTTTCAACACAGCTTTGAATAACAGAATAGAATATTTTACCCATAAGAAAAGCAATAAGCAAAAAAAGGATTATGAAAAAATTTAGGTATTTTAATTTTCCCATAAACATTGCAAAACAATAGCCAAATATATTTATTTTCTGCTGAGTAAAAAGAATTAAAAATCCTCAGTTCTACACAGCATTGTATCCAGGCAGCTCCATTCCTCTGTGGAGTTCCACCAATTGAATTATTCAATTCCGATTACAGATCTGCTTGCAAAAGCGCACTTTGCACAGGGAAGGATATTACATTTATATATCATAAATAAAAACTACTTCTACAATGTTATTTAGACTTATGATTTAGATTTTGGAGCCAAAGCCACCTCTGTACTTACAGCAAGACTTTGGCTCTGTGTAGTGAATACCACCCATGGATATGGAAAGCAATGAACACAGGCTTACAAACTAGGAATAATGCCAGATAAGATGAAACTATTTTAAATATTAGATGTAAGGAACAGATTTTTAAAAATAATCACAAAACTCTATCACCTGAAACAGGAAAACAGTTTTATTTAAAGTAAATATAATTGAAAGTCTTGCTGTGACGTGGACTGTGTGTTCTCTGACACAAAAGTTCTCACAGTAGAAGACCGACCAAAAGACAAACTCTGGAATATTGACAAGAGCTCTATAAAAATGCAATAAAAGTCAAGTTTATGACTTTTTATATAGCTTCAAAGAGAAATTGTTTATCAATGCTGAAGTTCCACAAGCAAGTAAAATTGGTTTTCTTTCAAAAAATAAAGTAAAATGAAGGCATAATGTAATATTTAGGAATATTTACATAGCCAAAAATACATAAATGTAGTACCTTACATTTATTTTGACATTCAGGTTCAATACTCAGGATTTAATATCTGAAGATATGAGATTTAACATATGTTACTGTAATAGACCCATGTGTGTTTTCAATTATCTACATACAGTCAGCACAAAACATATTTTCATATACGAGATTATTTTACTTCTGATTTTGCACGCCTCGATTTTGAAATATATTTTTGAATATTTTGAACATTCCCAACTCCCCGATGAGAGCTGGACTGGATACTTCCCCAGGAACGGGGTCTTTTTACACTCCAGGGTAAAAGAGAGAAAAGGCTTCAGTATGACTGGGGAAGGGGGAAGAGAGAAGTACAGTGGAAGATGATTTTGGTCAAGTATTTCTTTTACAAACGTAATATTCTTCAATATAGCTTGTAAGTAGAACATGAAATCGATTCCTATAAACCCCTAAAAGTTATATATTGGAATAGTTACCTTAAGTCATTTTATTCTCTGCCTCTTTATGAATGATGCCACTATCCATACCTCAAAATTAGGAAGAATTTCTTCATAACAGGAAATGGGCTGAACAACTCAGCTTTATAAATACCTGGAAAATAGAGATTACTGTAAAAATAATGCTGCATTGTGATGAGTTTTAACTTGCAGCTTTATTTTGATGACCTTTAAAAATTTCGTGTAAGTAACTGAAACTCGGTCTTTATCAACATTTTAGGAATGTGGTGTATGGAATCTGGGAATTCCACCAGTGCCCTTAAATTCCACAAACCGAGTGAGGTTCCAGAGTGCCCTGCAGCAAACTTGTATCAGAGAACAGTGATTTGCTGACTCTTTTCTCAATGTAAGTACCTTGGGCATTTTTGTCACAGAAGTATTTTATTTGAACAACCTCATTGTAATATGTCTTAATGAGGAGATAACTGTTTTTCCCAACTATCAGCCATTTGAAGATTGACCTAATCCAGGTTTACAAAGCTCTGATACAGAGGCTGAAATGCATTTTTTCAGCTGGACCAAACTTCCTTGCTAACTAAATCAAACCTTCCCACGAACAGAATAGAGAGCAGATACAATAATATCACATCCATAAGTATTTCACTAAAAGCTGACAGAGAAATAACAATGATAATTAAAATCATATGGTTATGAAAAAGACTAAAACTATTTTCAGAGTAAAAATATTTTTCAGTAAAAATATTTTCAGAGTAAAAATATTTTTCCACAGTGAAATTATTCTAAAGTCTCCCAGAAAATTGTTATAATGCTGATTTTTTTTTAAAAGTGAGAGAGATTTCTGCAGTATTTATATACTCCTACACATGATTAATGGTGTCAGTGCTGTCTTTTTTATTAGCATGTCTTTCCTACAGTATTTATGGCATTAGAGGATTAATGGTCAAATGAAGGCTGCAGTCAAATGAAGTGCAGAGAGCACCACGAAGGCTTCTCCTCTGTATTTTAAACAAGACTATTGCATTTTAGGGCAGACTCTTCACCTAAGGACAGAGTTTGCATTTCAGGCAAAAGCCTCTGTAAATTGTGATTTGTCCATGCTAGTAAATACTCAAGGAATTCTGATGGAATTGTGTAAGTATTTGTTTTGGTGAATAAGTGGTTATCACTTATTCAAGTGAAGCCAATAAAGATTTTGCCAGAAAACTTCAATCCAAGCATTAAAAGACCTTTTTAATGCCAAACAGTAGCAAACTAAAACCGAGTTGTTTTCTGTCACTAGCCATTAGTGATTCCTTTAGGTCACTGTTTAAGGTGGCTGAACTGAAAATGTGGTTTTTACATTATTCACTACAGTCAAGCAGGCACTTTAAGGATAAACCTCATGCTACAGGTAAAAATCCATGTTACATCTGGAAGTGAGAGTTACATTATTAATGGGCACATGTGAAGAGTGTAAATATTCGGTGAAAATATGTATTTGTATCATTGAAACGTGGAATCAAGTATTGTGCACAGTGTGAAATAACACATAAACCAAAACTTCTGAAGGAAAAAGTGTAGTTTTCCTGGATGATTCCTGGATTATGCCAATCATTTCAGAGCATGCTGCAGCTCAAAGCAAGTGTCTGAAATATGTCTCTGGGACAACACGTCACAACAGCTTTTTCATTTGGTCCAACTACTGAAATAAGGTAAAAATAGTTTTCCAGTTATCAGGCAATGTGCTTTCTTATAAGGGAGTCAGCAGGCCATTCCCAATCTCATTTTTGCCTCTTGTGGCAGCCCCAGCCCAGACACTGGTGGGAGTGAAGGGAAATGCAGATATGCAGATTTACAGACACACAGCTGGGTGACACTTCCCCTCCCACAAACGCATCCTCGTGGGAGTGGCAGCTCCCCACGCAGCCAAGGAGCCTGGTTACGTGTGGAATTAAGAATATGGCTTAGGGTTAATTTGTTGAGCCCTCTCCTCCTAAACCAACTGGAGTATTCCAGAGGAATGAGTACAAAGAAATTGCCAGTAGTAATATCTCGAAGGTCATCATCCTTATTTATTCAGTGTGTTAATCCAGCTCTCAGAGTCTGTTCCAGAGAGAATCTCCTCTGGGACTGGCACCAGCCATTTTTATCAAGCGGCATTTCCAGGCTCCAATGTTCAACCACTCTGCATTTAACAAGAGAGGGAACTTCCCTTGTACAATTTGGGACCTGTATTTCATGAATGTAGCAAAAACTTTTCATTTTAGTAAATAATTTGGCATGTAAATATTAGCATGGATAATTCCTTAATTTCCATACTAGTTTCTCACACTTTAGACTTACTAATGCTCCAGATTCCACATGAATCAGGGCCAAAAATCTCTCAAGTTTCACGTTATTACCTGTCAATAGAACTATTTGCTGTGTTGAAATGAAACCAAAATCAGCTCAGGCATATTGAATGTGTTAAAGGGAATTTGGTCTGGGGTTCCAGTTTGATTTAAAAGCAAAATCTATTCAAATCAAGACTCTTTTCCATAGATTAAGGTTTGGTTTTAATAATTCACACTGACCTATGTAACACTCATGATTTATAGAAGTGATTTATAGGGTAAAATACAGAAATAGGGACTCAGAATAAAAGGTTCTGTCAGAAGAACATTTTGCTGTGTTCCATTAGAAACAAAATAGTCTCTCACAAATGTATTTGTGTGAAGATATTCTAAACTTATGGTTGTGCAGATCAGTTTCCTCTTTTCCAAATGGGTCTATGCCTTGTGGAGATGTCAGGTAATAAAGATACTTATTTCTGCAGTCTTTGATTTTCAGTAGGGCTTCTATAAACGAGGAAATTCAATAGTTTCATTATAACCTCATACTACAGGGGTTTTTACAACACAGTGTTTCATGTACAGTCTTGTACTCTCTGAAGTTTTATCAATATGATGATAATGACTAAAATATTACTGCCCGTAATTTTAAGTAGACAATTACTGAGTAAAACTGTTTTGTCATTTAGACTTTATCTTTGATCATGTTGCTTCTCTGTGAGTCAAATGTCTAGTTGCTTAATTTTTTAATTTTTAATATTAGCCTTGTCTAGTACAATTTAGAATATGTTTATAGGTGGAAGTTATTACTGCATGAGAAATGCTTGACTTTTTCTATATTCATGCTTAATTTTATTTTGTCATTTAGAATATCTGTAGGTTGCATGAATAGACTTGGCACTTTATAAAGTGGTGTCATAAATAGAATAGGCAGCTACAGTGAGACAATATTAGAATAGTCCTATTTTCCACTATTTCTTCTGATCTTGTATGTAAGAAAAATAATGTGCTGGCTTTTCATTTCTTAATCCTTTAAGGAACATAGTGAATTTAAGGATAATTAATCTCTCCTTACTTTGGGTGTCTAAAACTCAGGTACAGTGATGAACAAGATGACTGAGGAGTACCCTGTTATCAGTGAAGAGAAATGGGTGCTGTCAAAGAGTTATTCATCCTCTCAAACGACAAGAATTGGACATAGTTAGGACTCAAAGAGGAATTTGCTGAGTTTTGAAAGATTCTACTCTGAATCTGGACTTATTCTACAAAACCAGACCGTCATCTTTAGGGAGGTTACGCTGCTAAATCACCCTAGAGCCATTAAAAGTGGATTTTATAGAAAAGGGGTTATTTCCTTCACATCTACTAAAGCAAACCATATGTGTGTGTATCTGTGTAGCTATAAATACACATAGGTAACGGTTGGATCTTGCTCCTTAAATGATCATTTGTTGCAGTGAGGCAGAACCTGGTACGATACATTTCCTGTATTCTGAAATGTTTGGTCATGATTTCAATCACTCAAATTTAGGCCCTGGCTGAGAACAATCGATATGGCTGTAAATCTAAAAATTAAGTAGAAATAGATATTGCACCTATGGGAGTACAGATAATGTTATAGAATGTATGATAATGTTCCCATATTATGAAAAATTGTTTAATCAAGATTTATTAAATTTGTAACATTTTTTACTTCAGTAAGAACTAAATTAGCCATACTTGATAGGAATTCTTTCTATTACTCTACTCAGTTTATACTTTTCTGTGAAGAACTTATCATTCAGCTGTGTAGTACTTTTTTTCCATAGAGGAGGACTGTATTCTTCAATTCCATTCATCTTTACATGCCATTTGCTGCTTTACTAGGATTAACAAGGCGTTCCAAGTATTTTAACAGGAAAGTAATACATTCACAAAAATTCCCATTAAAGTCTTTATCTTCAAGTTACAAAAGACTGCACTTTTTAATGATTAAAAACTGCATACTGGAGCAGCACATACTTAGAGAATTATTCTGATAGTACTTTTGTTACATAGATTTGGGAAGATCCCTTTCTTTGCTACCACATTCTTGTGTCTTGGAGCTCTTTTACTATGGTAATAAAGACTGAATTCTTACTCAGGGATATAATCTGTGGCTATCAATGACTAACTAACACATCCCTTCTGTTATTAAAACAATTCCAATGTGGAAAAGTTCAGTTTTAAATGTAGAGGATCAAATTATATTTGAGGCAAGTAAGGCTAAAAGCACAACTAAATAGCACCTTTCCCACAAAGGTTTATTGCCTTGCAATTGTCTCTGTTTCATGAAAATTTGTAAGGATTCTTAATTCATACTTAATTCATATTTTTTGAAATTCAGAAGGGAGCTCTATGTAATTTCCTATCAGTGCAGAAATACATTAGGTAAAGAGCAGAGATATTGATATCTAGGTGCAGAGATATTGATATTTGAGCAGAGATAAACACTAGAGCTCACTGAGATGAATTCCTGGTGCAGTACTCCTGGTGCACCACATCTAAGCCATTGCTTCACAACAGTTTCTCCACCTCCAAATAATCAGAATTCCCTACAAAACATTCTGAAATGGGGTGTTTCAGAATCAGGGAGTGCTCCCAATATGCATCCTTCAAAAAAAAAATATACTGCTGGCCTGTTGTTTTAAATGAAGGGGTCTTAGAAGTGCCATTCTAAATACTTCTGCAGTGATGTGTGAGTAGGAGAAGAGATGCCTTCTCAAAGGTGATGTAGGACACACTCAGATCTCCATTTTGATCCAGACTCAGTGCTGAAGCACAGCTCCTGTTAACTTAATTGTGCAGTCAGGCCTATGATGCTGCAGTTCCTCATACATTTCAGGTTATCACTGTATTGACTAAATACAAATACAGTTTGTTGCTCTGGGAGACACACATATTGGAAATTAAATCAGCTGCTGGAACAACACGAATATTCTTTGTGCCTCAGGAATGTTGGATATTCTCAGAGAACTTAGACATTATGAAATGCAGTTCTTAATGGTTGTTTTTCTCCATTCACATTGTTTCTCCATGAATTTGTGGTGAGTTATGAAAGCAGTGGGTTATATGTTTCTCTATGCATATGTCTTCTTTTGCTTGTCTCCCTGACAGGTTGCCAATGCTTTGTTTCTCAAAAATTAAGTTTTTGAAAAGTTTTGCAAAGTACTGTGGTGGCAGGTGTGTGAAAAGTGACCAGAATTCGAGGCCAAAGTTTGAAATGTTCGTCCATTGAGAAGGAAATTATTTTCACGGTAATTATGCAAATATATGGATAATTAGGAATCCTTTGGACACTAAATACATCTTGCAATATTCAATACAAGGCCCTGTACTATGAAATTTTGCAAAGTCTGTTGTACATTGAGATGTGATATAACGTGGCATTATGCAAATCCCTACTGGTATCTTGCTATTGTTTTATGTCTTTTCCATTAATGTGAAAGAACACAAAAAACAAAAGGAAAAGCTGGCTGTAGAAGAAGAATTATGCATTTGACTGCATATAAAGTAATTCATGAAAACAATTTTATATGTATTTATACCTTTACAGATAAAACAGTTCTGCTTTTTCCTTCATTCGTGCATTTAATTTAATCATTTTGAAAGATGCAGATGGAATAGTAACAGTTATATAATTTTCATTTTGCCAACAGGTTTCTTGCAAGAGTGTTCTGAAAAATACGGAGTCATTTCAGTCAATGAGTTGTTGTTCTCCCCCTCACCACGTTTCTGTGGTCACTGTCACCAATGGAAATCACAAGCTCGTTATTATCACTTGAGCTGGTGGGTATTGCAAAAATAGTAGATCCAATGATAAAATGAAAATGAGACAACAGCTTGTTGTCTCAAATACATTAAAGTCAATACTTACATAATCTTTCAGAATTACATCAAATATTAAATGGAGGCAAATAAACATTGTTTTAGCTTTCTTTTTATTTTAAAGTCCTATTTCTGAATATTTTCCTATTCATTCTGTGTTAGTAGTGAATTTACATTCCTGTGTAAAAAGACCTGGAGGTAACTGCACAGTTTAGATTTGATAAGACCAGTGAACTGATACTGTGGCTCAATGATTTTGTCTGAACTTCATTGTAAAATAAAAAATAATAACTACAAACCATGTCAGTATTTGGAACAGGGTATATAAATTCTTGGACAAGAAAAAGATTTTAACACGCATTCATTGTCTACATTATTTTCAGAGGATTTTAACTTAGTGTTAAATAAATCCTGCATTCAAACATTACATATTTGGCCAAATGCAAATAAATATCTCTTAGTTAAAAACAATAAAATATTTCCTAGCTACATTCCTGCTGACTTATACTTCAATATGCAGATATAATTTTGTGTGACCATTTCTTTTACTTTTCTTTGAAAAAGGTCCTGAGAGATTTAGATTTATCTCTCTCAGACATTTTAGAACTGGCTTGATAATAATTCTTTGGAAGAGAGATTTTCCCCTAAATGGTGCTAAGGTGTTTTCTGAGTTCCAGAACAATCTGAGTGAAAACTTCAGTTGCTGTGAACTTCCATACTGCTACCTGACTGAACGTTGATGTGCACCAGCTACCATGGGAGTCTGGTTTTTTCTCTGGACTTAAGTCAGGGTAACAGAACAAATTCTCCATTGAGGTCTCATGTCATTACTCTCAAATTGACAAGGCTTTTAAGATAATTCAGGTAAAATTTTGTTTTAAAATCAGTGTTCCTTCTTGAAAGAGGATACTTGTTTTGGGAGACTTAACCTAACCTAGGAGAACTTGATTACAAAAAGTTAAAAAATCTCATTTAGGCAGGATAATGAGTCTAAAGTGCTAGATCAGTGACCTCTTATTATATATGAACTTTATTCTACCCTGAACATTAACTCCATCAGGCACAGTATAAGACAAATGTTATCAAACAATATTCTTTTGCATTTTATCTTAGTTTTATTAGCTCCTTATGGCACAAACTAAGGCAAAATATTCTTAGACCTCAGAAGACAAATGCCATCTGTCTGGTGTGTCTGTGCTTGCCATATGTGATCTATTCAGCTTATGAAATACCTGCACCCAACTCGTTGGTGTGAAGTTGAAAGACAGTTTATTCTTTAAGCAGTGTGATTCTCCTGTAGGCAGCCAGTCAGCTAATCTGGGACATACCTCCTTTGCTTCTCAATTCTCACAGGTTACTATTTATGTTACAGGCCTACACCAATTCCCTTGATCCAGTGGACTGATGATCCATCGGTATCCTGCTTTCTTCATGCCCCAGTCAAGGTACAGTACTTTCATAAGGTGTTACCTGCTGATTATCACAATATAGATTATAAAAAAACAGATTATCTGATGGTTATCACAATACAAAGGTCTGCTGCCATCAAATACCAGACATTTTTGAGGAATTTCTTTGCACAGCAAGAAGCTTTTGAGCTCACAAAAGCCTTCAATTGAAATGTTCACCTTATTGGCCCTCTTACCAGACTGCTCACATTCTGAATCCTTTAGAGCTGCTCTTAGCCACAGTTGCTTAGTAGTGGAACTGTCTCCTGTATCAAGAGAGCTTTAATTTCAGGCCATATCCCACTCCTGAATTTACATGTACATGTCAGTGTCTGGTCTGTCGCTTAAGTTTTAATATTTTAGTTTTGAGAATCAGAAGATAAGCAATTAAATAAATGAATTTAATAAATAACTGATTGAAAAATAATTTATTAAATTAGTGAACTTATTTACTTAATTAATTGAAAATATCTAGCATGCCAATAGCAATACTTCTGTGCTATTAGCCTGAGAGCAGTTCAATTAAAAAAAATAATAACTTCTAGTTGACTAATATTAATATGGTGAATAAATATGCTACCAAGAAAACTGTTTATATTTTCAAGGCAACCAAGCATCTGCACACAAACAATTTCTTTCTTGCAGCAGAATTTTATTCAGTGTCTGAAAACACAGAGGAAAAAAAGCCTTCGCTTTTTCTCCTTCAAAACAGACAGGAACATGTTTACTTTCACCAAATATCCACATATGTGTGACACTCTCAGGAGCATTCAGTTGCTGTAAGAGTAGAACTTTCTTATTCTTTTCCATAAACATCCTGCACATGCATCTCCTGTTTGTGCCCTCAATAAAGGAGGAAGGAAGTCCTGAAAGACTGTCTGTGTATTCAGTTGTGAGCTCCCACTGGGAAGCCAAGGCAAAGGACACAATTCTTATACAAATGGGCAAAGGTATCTACATTCCACAGCGCCAAGCAACCATCAAATCCAGAAGAAATTCCTAGTCCTCCTCCTTGCCCTACTTCAGGCATCTGGGAATCATTGAAGTCTTGCAAATAACTGAAAATATTAGCTGCCTGGTCACTTCTCACATAGTGCTAAAGTATACATTTCATCTACCCATCCTAATTTTCTTGTCCATTTTACCCCATATTGTGAGACAGGATATTAAAATAAGTTCTTCTTATTTCTTTGACGGAGTGTAACAACATTTTCCAGACATAATGTGTCTCAATTTTCTCCTAAGTGTATTATTGTTATTTCTCTAGAGCCATAAAAATTGGCATACCACAAACGTCAATGGTGCTTAAAAAGCCTGTCTTAGTGGGGGAAAGGGACTATGAAATAGCATGGTTACTTTTGTAAGAAAAAACATGAAAACTTTCCTAAAATAATTGTTCAATAAAATAAATGATACAAAAAGTCATTACAGTGTAGGATATAAGTCTCTTCCTGAAACCTGCAACCTTTTCCCTTATGTTTTTATCATCTGTGATTAATATACCCACATCCAAGTTTGGCTGGTAAACCCTGATACTACATCACTGCCTTATCTCTTTGTTTCTCCTTGTTTATATTATGCTGCATACCCTCACAAAAGGGAAACTAAAAGTGACATTTGGGATGTATGGCAGGATTTTTAATATTTACTTTGGCAGATCTTAGTACAGATACAGATTTGGTGACAATATCAAGAGTCAAACACTATCAATTTGTTGTAAGGCCCATAGGCCAACAGCAGAAAAATAATCAGACAAGAATTTAATCAGGCAAGTGCTAAATAATGGTGTATGGCAGGACCTATCATAGCACCTATTTTGTACCATACCTACATACACTACGTTTAATTTTCAAAAACTACAACAGGCAAAAACATGGCAATAAGATCCCAACATCTACAGTTAATGTGAAAAGACCAAGAGCAGAAAAGGCTTATTTTTAACATAACTAAGTCACTCAGATTCTGCCTGTTGTGCCATGACTTGAACATAGTTGCTTATCAGAGTAGAATTTAGACTGCTGTATCTGTCCCACCTGGAAATACAGACCCACCACACAGTGGTGCCAGGGATACAAAGGAGGCAGATACATTGAGGAATTTACTACAAACAGAAAGTAAAATTATCTATAGCAGTGAAAACTCCAGTTACTAAGAATAGAAAACCTTTTCTCAGCGCAATAGTTCTGGGCATTGACCAGTTATTTTTCTTTTTTCAGCAACACATCAAAACTTTCCACCACTTTTTGTATCCGGTTCCAACGAACTAATAAACTCCCGATACAAGCCTTGATAGTGCTTATCAACTTGTCATGCATGGTAGTGTTTTTTCACTTGCAGCAAGAAAATGTTTATCTTTTTGCTACACTCAAAGCAAGCAGCAGAACTGAAAGTTCCTGTAAGAAGAGCTGGCAAGTGGCCTGCAGTCTAGAGACTTTGGTTTACTCTGTTTTATTGTTTGTTCCCAAAATTGTTTTTCTCAGCCCAAATTTTTCTATGTTCTAAGATTGGTAATAATCATCTACAGACTAAAAAATGGTCCAATATAAGGTGCAGCACCTTAAAGTTATTATTTGTTCTTTCCAACCTTGTAACGCCTCGGTGTTAAACACGTAGATCAGGAGATGCAGAATCACAGAAGAGAAACAAAGAGAAACAAAGTCTCTATCTCACAAATAGGTTCAAAGCTCTATGTTTCTGCTGTAACACAGTAGTATTCTTGTGTATTAGTGTAAAATACTGAAGTATATTTGAAAATACTTGAATTTTCCACAGGTAGAATGGGGAAATACAGTTTTCTGCTCTCTGTGAGAAGGTGAGAATATATCCTTGGAATATATAATAATGTCAATACCACCCAATTATTATGCTTCATTAGAAATGTTAATTTTTTTTTGCATTAAGATAAATTTGCTATTACAGGTATTGTAATATACTCTGTAGATTTGCTGTTCAAGTGCACTGCTCTGCTCATCTTAATTCGTAGTGAAATCAGTTAAAACGGTGTCGTTAAAGTTTGTTTTGTCTGCCAACCACAGTTGCAGGCAGTTTTTCACTATTAACAGTGACGAAGAAGATTCCTTAGGGAGTTAAGTGGGATGAAGCTCCCGGGGCAGCAGTTCACCATCTCTTTGCTGTCTTGGGGGTGACATCTGAGAAAAAGTCAGCGAACCCATAAAGCAGCGATGGTGGGAGCAGAGTGTGCTGTGCCGCTGGGCAGCCCCAGTGCAGCACAAAGGACAGAGGCACTGGGGCCCTGCAGGAGGGACCCGCTGTCCCCTCCCAGCCCACCCTGCTGACTCCTCTCCTGCTCCAGGGGCTGTGTGAGCCCCAGACTTTGGACACGTGCAGGGTCTTGCTTTAGGAGGAAATGGAGAGCCTTGAGGTGCCTCACTGGTGCAGTTTTGCCCCTTTGCCCCGCCTGGGGTGTTTGCAGGAGGGTTGTGTGTTATCAGGGGGCAGCAGCTGGGCCTCAGGCCTCACCTTCTGGCAGGAGGAGCTACCTCTGCTTTGGGGTGGGTCTTTTGTGACTTCTTGGAATTTTCTGTTTATTAACTGGGTAATCTGGAAAGGAGAGGATAGCAATGGAGCTGGTATAGAAAGATACTGTGTTGTAGGCCAGAGCTGACTATTCCAGATTAAAATGCATTCTGAAATGAGGTGGGAGTGCACTGCTCCCTCTGACAGGTGAAGTGCCTGCGGTACCTTACCTGGCTTAGGTTCTAGTCAGGGCATTTTCCACCCTCCTGTGACTGGCCAGGGGGCAATCAGGGCCCAGACCCTGAATCCAGAACCTCTTGATGCAACATTCATCTCCTAATGTTCAGACTGGAACAAGAACTCTATAATTTTCATTTCAGATATGTTCTAAGAAGGGGTTTGTTTCCTTTTTTGGTTCTAAATACACCCAGAGTTTCAAAAGAATAAAATTCTGGTACAAGTTAGAATAAATTTCCAAGATAAGATGATTTTATATGAATTATCAAGGTACTGAATCTAGATTATTTGACTATGAGCCCAGATTATACCACAAAGTCTATGTTTGATTCAAACTACAATCTGGGGATCTTCTGGGCTCACTCAGTTCTCCTCACTGCCAACTGCAGTCATGGGATAGTTCTGTTACGGATTAGTTCAGAACTCCAAAAATGACTAGCACAGATTCCCTGGCTTTATATATGAATATCCTATTGCTTCCTCTGCTCAAAATTAACCTACTGCAATCTAGTTTGATATTTATGCTGCTCTCATTATTGAGATTTCCAAAGGCCTCAGTCAGCAGTCACGAGGCTGTAGATTTCATTTTTAAAAGAATATACAAAATAGTATTTGTCATTTGAAAAGTAAGGAAAATTTTAAAGTGCCTTTTTCTTTAAAAAACCAAACCAATACCTAGTAATCAACCAAAAACCAATTTTGATTAAGAATTCAGTTTCTCAGTAGATTATTTCTTGGGCAATATCACCTGTTAAGTCTAACTACTGAAGAAATTAATCATCTCCAAATATTTCATCTTCTATTTTAATTGCTTAAGTGTAAAATAGGTCATACTATCTATCCTGATGAAAGCCTGATTATGAAATGTGTGATTTCTTTTAATGATCTTTATTAACTTACAATGATTCCTGTATGCCCTTCCAGCTCTAACTGAGATTCTGTCAGCACTGTACTTCCTAAGTGACATTTGCACTTGTTTAAAATACAACCATAAAGATCCACTTCAGTCACAATCTTGGCACTGGTGGTTTAAATATGGGAATAAAATTGTTTGCATGCATTCAAAAGTTAAGGAGAAGAAAACAAAACCATTTACACTTCTTTAATCAGCCATCAATCACAACAAATTAATTCTGTAGTCTAAATAGCATTTAAATAGTGTACATACAGTTGAGACAATGTTCAAAACTTGACATAATAATGGGTTTCTTCAATATATAAATGAGACTGGTTTCTCTTATTCAGCCTATTCAATAACCGCATGTCTTTTCTGCTATTTTTTTTTTCTTTTAGGAGACTGTTGGTAATCACATGAATTTTATATATAACAAAAAAATAAAATAAATGTATATAATAGATATATATAATAAAAAAACTGAAATGCTGTTAATGCTCTTCCATTTTGTAAAAGAATCAAAGCATTCTCGTATTACTCAGTTCTTGGCACATAACAAATACATAATATCTTTTCCACTGTGGAAATTCTATTTGAAAAATATTACCTACTTGCTACTGTTCTAACTTTTAGAGCAATTTGTCTCCTGGTTAATGTCTCTTGGCCCTATAATTAAAAGAAATCAAACCCCCTAAGAAAAGGCTAATAGAAATCTTTGCTTTGCTCATATTTAAGGAACAACTAGAAAAAAAAATGATCTTTTACAGAATGTTTAATACTGAATGTTACTCCCAGCCTATTCCCAAAGTGCTTTTAGCTTCAGTGGACAGTTTTACAGATGCCTTTTACAGGCCTTTCTCTGGGGCTCTATCAGATCCAGAGGTTTTTGTGACACACCATTTCAAACCAAAATGATTTAAGTACTTAAAATAAACAACTTGAAACATGTATTTGAATTCAAAAGCTTAAATATACATCTCAAATCATGTACTTGGCTCTCTTTTCTGATGCTTATTCTTCAGTGATAAAAATGCGTAAAAAAATTACAATTGTATGTCAGGTGATTCCTCTTAGATATACAAGGGACTGGAATTTAGTGACACTTATTTTGATTCTTTTCCTTGAATTTAATCTCAGGATTTCTAGGTCTAACCATATATTTTTCTTGATAGTAATGTCATATGATAAATATATTTTTACATATTTGCAGAGCACATGTTCAGAAAGAACCTGACTTTTGCTCTGGCCTGGATGTATATAAGTAGTTTGGTATGCAAGAATCAGCTGTTGAAGCCTACAAGTTATTCAGGTAAGAAATTTTATGAAAGATTGCTTACATTAGGAAAAAAAATTAATTCTGATATCCTTGAAAGATTACGTGTAAGATAAGATGCTGACACAGGACAAATACAAAATGAGATCAGTTTTAATGCTCAAATCTATCACCACACTATTCTTTACATCATCCTGTGACTAGTATAGCCCCCAAAAGACTTTTAAAAAGTAATTAAAACTCCAGTCTGTTCATATTAGGTCTTCTGTAGCAAGGTGATACATTTTGTAGCTCTGGGAGTACTCCCTTCAGTGATCTTAACACTGCAGAACTCCATAGAATATATGCTGTCTCATGCTTTTTTTTTTTTAACATTTCCATTTAGATGCAGAGTCTTTACCTAAGGAATGTGACTTGGAAATAAAAAGTTTGCTGAACATGCACTTTTGCATGGTTAGAAAAAAAACATGCCAAAAACTTTTCAATTACAATTCATTTAATTGATTAATTTAATACCTTGCAAGAATGCACATGCCAGTGTGTTTTGACCTGTGAGTACAATATTGTTCAACACTGCTCGTTCAGTCCTCCTAGAAAGGAACCTTCTTGTTATTGTGGTGTTTATTTGGCATCAAAAGTTCTGAGTTTCAGCTGTTACAGCAAGTCCACTTTGTGACCTGTAGGACATGACTTGACCTGTAAGGTTTTCTTGCCTGAAAAATGAGACACAGTCCTTTAGCAGAATGAAGAGCATTTACTTGGAGATTAAACTTTAATATAAAAGGGGGGGGGTGAAGCCACCCAGTCAGTTCCTTTCCTATGTCACCCAGTATTTTGAAGGCTATTTGAGGATATCAGTAGTCACTGTCAGAGGGACCAAGTGACACCATCTATTATTTCTTTTAAGCTCGTCAATGAAGTCAGGAGTCCATTTAACACAAAGCAGTGACAGTGCTGTCCCACACACAGCTACTGAAATAAATGTTACCAGCACTGCACATGTCAAACTGATGATATATTGGGCTGAAATACCCAGGCACAAACAAACCGTGTTTACGGGTGTGTGTGTTCTGCCTCCTCCTTCAGGAACTGGAAAACTGCAGACTCCAGGGCAACCTGTCACCCAGCAGGAATAAACTGTGCCCAGGAGATCCCTGGAGATCTCTCACACTCACCCAGAGGAGCAGGGAGAGGAGCCACACAGCATTCCCAATGGACTGGGCCATCCCACCTTCCTCAAAAGCCTCTCAGCAAGAGGAATGCCCACACAAAGACCTTTAGAGCTGGATAAGCACAGAACAGCTGAGAACCCACAATATCTTTTCTAGGTTTAATCATCATTTTATTTAGGGACTGCATGAAAACTTGGGTATTTTGGTACATTTAATTTAAATAAAAGTACTGGACAGATTTATGCATTTGATCATTGACCTGATGCATGTTTCTAAAATTGACATTCTAACTGAGATCCACCTGAACAGTCATTCAAGTTAGCTTGCAAAATGTCTGTCATATTTTCAGAGACACAGATGTTAAATTCTTACGTTAAAAACAAGTTAATTGTACCAAAAGAATGAAGCTCTCACTCTTAAGCCAAAATATATCCCTCTTCATAATACCATGCAGTTATCAGCATGTCCCTTGGATTTATGACTTATGACATTTGTTTACCAACAGGTGGTTGCATATCTTGCCATTTATATTTTAAGCAGCAGTAAACACAACTAAAAATAATATAAGACAAACAAAATAAAACTCAGTGGTGTTTTTAAAGTGTTTTTAGAGAAAAGCTGTATTTTTAAGCCAGGTCTTCGAGTAGTTCTCACCAGGCCCAGCAACACAGAAGAATACTGCAAGAGCAATAAGGATTTTTAGGGGCATTATGATAGTGTAAAGGAAACACATCTGCCCCCAAAAGTCCCTCATTTTCCCTGCGGTTCAGAGCCATGCAGGAAGTGGTGAATGCTGTGGAACATCAAAAATGAAACTATAAAGAAAAGATTTTTAAGTTAGAACAACTTTCCAACAATACCTCAGGATTTCATCATTTTTCTGTTAGTTCACTACACAGGAAAATTGTAGTTTTTCAAACAGCCTCTAAGTCATTGCTCTGAATGTATAAAATGGTCCTGTCCATTCAGCAAAGTGAATTCTTAGGCAACACTCTAAGAAATACTGTTGGTATTGGGAAGTGCAAAACATTTTGCAGGAAGCCCAGACAATACAGGACAATTTATCTTCTTTCAGCTCCCCAAAAGCAAAAAATAAAACAGAATAATCATCATTAACCATTGACCTGCATTTCTCATTTTTAAGGATACTTCAGTGACAGAGTGAACATTAGTTTATAGAAGAAAATTATACATAACAGAATCATATAGCAACTTTCATTTTAAAGAATTTAAAGATATTTTCCAACTCCCTAGGCAGTTTTCTATACATACAGAAAGACCACTCCGAGTAAAAATACAAAGAGGAATCCCAATTCAGGAAAGACTGAATACTCAATATTTTTAAATATCCTTAGTAAAACAGGTAGCACATTTGAACTCTGAGTTATGCCTCTTCAATTGACATGCCCAATGAAAAGTTACTATTTTAAAATAATCCACATTGAATAGCACCTAACAGGCATAATCTTCACAGATTCTTGTACCATAAGGTATAAAATATATCACTGAAAAAAAGCAATGCCCAATTCCTCATATATTATTTAATATGATGAGCTGTGTAATACATTTGCTCGTGTTAAAATATAATAAAAAATTAACCTAATTCTTTCCTCAGGTTCCAGAAATTTTAATGTGATCTCACTTGCATTTTTTATGGATGTAGGTCCAGTGAATTCAGTGCAGATCCTTCTGACTGACAGCAGCATCCAGGCACCTACTGACAGAGGTGTGTGCAGTTTGTGTGATTTGAAATAGGCCTTTGATTACAAAAGAAAGCTTTAATACAAACAGCAGCAGCATCAAAGCAAAAATCTAGATTTTGCTGACCTTAATAGCCATTTTAACAGTAGCAATCCATAACAAATAGAAATGCCCCTTCAGTGCAATTACTGTATTCACTTATTTTTCTTGACACGTGGGCCAATCCTGAAACATCCCAAATGGATTTTTCTCAACCTTTCCTAAAGCCCTTTATATGGGCCTTGTTGGAGATGACAGAACACATTTTGTCCTTTTTGTGAGTGTGTTTTGTTTTAATTCTTATCCTGACCTACAAACAAAAGAAAAGTTTTACTTGTAAAAATCAGTGTTTAGAGACTATTTTATATTGGTTCCTATAGAAAGGCCATGATTTCAGTAAAAGGATTTGGTCTGTCTGACTGAAGCTTAGATACTTTAAACAGCAAAAGTGCATCAATACTGCTTAACACTGGTGAATTGTAGTCTCCCTCATTAACAGCTAAATTAAAATATTACAGCAGTATTAACTGAAAGATCAAAATAATTTTGCTTAAAGTTTTTCACGTGCATCCACAGTGTAAGTAATTGGTATATTAGGAAACCAGATAGAACTGATGCATCATTTTTAAGACTTTTGAGCTCAGCTAAGAGCAAGTATGCTCCAAACAGGAAAAGAAAAAACCTCTGGAGCCTGTCTGTAGAGAATCCTGATTCCAATGTAAAAAATAAAATATTGGTAACTGAAGAGCTTTATATCCAGCAGGGAGTGAGAGACCAGGGGTAACCTTCTGATGCCAACTGCTGACATGTAGTCCTGTCAGCTGGCTCACAAAGCAAGTCACCTCAGCAATACATGTTAGTCCTGCTTCTATTATCTTTATTTACTCTGTGGATGTTATAGAAAGCTCCTGAAAAAAATCCACAAGCTGAATAAGGCCTATCCATTCACACAATACCTAAAGAAACCTCGTAAACAGGAATTACCTGGGCATTTTGACAACAGGTAAAACACCTGATCCTTTGTTTGTTTTTTCCATGTTTATATCCTTTACCAAATTCCCCCCACATCTGCATTGTCTGCATATGACATTGCAGCAAGACATCAGTGCATTTATTGACTGATATGCTGTAAGAACTGGGCAAATGATGCTTTCAATTCAATAATTTCACCAGAAGCTTCAAGCCATGTAGTCTGAAGTGGATTTGGCATTTCATGTCATACAACTACTTTTCTACCACTTCTTTCACCACAGGTGCAGCTACCAGGTGACAGCAGTGTTTTTCCACTAACATTTTAAAGCAATTTTTAAAAATCCATTTTTTTTTTTGCTTCATAACCTATGAAATATGACTTTTTTGCCAAATAAAAAATGATACTTTGAGTGATACCTTTAAAAATTATGCCTGAACACACTGCTGTGTGTTCAGATAGATTTTCTTTGTGGTGTGAGGTGCAGGTTTTACACAGGCAAGCAGCACTGGTGACTGACACTGCACCAGGGAGACAAGGACAAGGCACAATTTAAAAACCAGCCCTTGGGTGTCTGTGCTCTTGCCCTGGAAAAAACTCTGGATGGCTTCCTAGCAAGGGGTGACTGATTTTGCAGCCTTTACTAAGGCAAAATTTTTAGTTGTTCCAGGTCATGAGTTTCCAAACTCGAGGTCGTTACCTCTCTCTCTCTTTTTCTATGGCTGGATCAGAGGGGAGTCACAAAACTTTTCTGTTGCAACACGAGGTCAGGAGATGTCAAAGGTTGAGGCCCTGCTTCAGAAAATGCAGGCCACAAACCAATCCCCAGCCCTGCCACTGGATTCTGGTGGAGATCCTGATCTTTTCACTGCTTTCAATAAAATTTCAAAAGTAAACAGATTAGGCCATTTGATAATCCTCTGCTGATTCAGTGTGTTTGTAAGCTGGGTTTTTTTAAAGGTTTGCTTCAAAATGCAGAAAAGTCATTCTAAAAATGTAGTTTTAAATTTATTTTAAATAGAAAGAGAGCTGGTAGGACTTTCAATTTTATAAATTATAAATGCAATAAATAATTGGGCTTGATATTTCTAAACATTATTTTTTCAATAATTCATGGCATTTTTTTACCTCAAGAAAAATTAATTTTTATTACAAACATACCATCTACTTTTTATCTTCTGTCAATTTCTTTCTTTCATAACAAATAGCAAGACAGGCTGATCCCAGGTATTTAATTATTAATGCTCTGGATACACAGTGCACTTCAGGAGTCTCAGCTCTGAGCCCACCACCCCAAGCTGCACGCAAACCTGGGGGGAAAAACCAGAGTGAGGGAAAGAGAGCCAATTTTTATAACACAGGTGTTTAGGGCATCTATCACTGTTTTGTCTAATCATCATCAATTTAAATAACACATAGAAAATAAACATACTTTTAAAGTTTAAAATACATGCATGATATCCACGGTAGTAGAAAATTGTCTGTTTTACTGCACACCAGAGACAAACAGGAGCTGCTTCTGTAAGCTCAGGAAAGGGAAAAAATGTGAATAAAAATGTTGTCTGAGGAAGGCCTAGAGAAGTGTAACTGTGTTCTTTAACACTGCTCATTAATCATTCAAATAGTGTATTAATTCTATAGCTGGGTTATTGGTGCTAGGAGGAATGCATGTTAATTTTATATATCATCAATAGAGAATCAAACAGAACCTGTTTTAAAAAATAATCTAAAGATAGCTGATCAGCAAAGTGTGTTACTTAAAGCACATCTTACTGAAATTAACTGTGCAAAAATTACATGTTTTAATTTAAGAGCTTCAAAGTAACAGTTGGTAAGAAGCAACTACTGTATTTCAGCTGATCTTTGCTGCTGTTCGGGTATGTAGGTTTGTTCTCTTTTCCCTTAAAGATCCTCACATTGATCCACTTTCTAATCTCTGATTCTCTGCTCTTACGTTCTCAGAATCCTAGTGAAGAGACCAGGGGAGTTAAACCAATACAGATCTGACAACCTGTAAGACTGGACAGGTCTGGAATGTATTCACAAACTATAATTCAAAAATGAAAATTTTCTACAGTTAAGTTCATAGCTTAATTGGCTCATGAAAATTTAACCTTTCATAAATGCTGCCTTTGAACAGCATTATTTCATGCAGAACAGTAGCTAAAAGGCATATTAGCAGCACAATTCTGACCTAAGCTCCTCCAAATCAGATTTTGGTCTTAAACAAGTGAGGAATTCGTTGCACTGAGGTTTGGATATGTCCTATTTCACTTGTGTAGAGATCGTATTGCTATAAAATGTAAAATGTCAGAAATCTTGGTAATTCATCCTGATATCCATTTGCATAAATGTATAGATCCTGCATATAGTCATGTAGAACAACTTTACTTGAACAGTGTATCACTGGGTAACTTCAGCTGAATTTCCAGGCCTTTTTGAAATATTCAAATTGGTTCAGTCTGAATAGGTCAGCACTTAAAATTAATCTGACTGCAATGACAATGTGACCACAATGTGAATGTCTAGATGTTTAATGTGTAACTTAAGGAGGTGATTAGCTGGCATAAAATGTCAAAACTATGACAGACACATTTACACCAACTGAAAGGATGCTCCTGTGTGTATTTTGTGTGCATATGCTGCATACATGAGCCATTGTAGAAATCACATTGTGTGAGTGTCATGTGTTTCACTGAATGTTAAACATCTGTGCAGTATATTTGGAACCACAGAAAGTCCACTGTATCTACTGTAATTTTCAGCACTTCCTAGAATCCCACGAGGAAAGTACAGCTATGTGATTTTAAAGTAAAAATTATACTGAAATTCTTTAGGACATCGATACTAAAATGTAAATAATAACATGAACTTAAACAGATCTACCAAGCTCAGGTTTACAGTGCCTTATTCATAAAAATATACTCTATGACTTTTACCAGTACAAAAATTAGTAGTCTTTAAATTGATCCATAGATACAGACTGTACACATGGAGACACACAAAGAGACACACATAAAGAAACAGCTGGTTGAAGAGATATGTTAAAACTGAATACTCTGTGAGCAAAAAAGATGAGAAGGGGATTGACAATACAAATGTTACCAGTGCTTATATGTTTTCAAGGTTTAAACTGCCTCTTTTCTAGGGACTTCCTTTTCTCCCAATTCACCTGTACTGAGTGACCACTCTTTGAAAGATAACTTTTTCTTCATCTTTTGCTGGCTTTTTAAGAGAAAAACACCACCAACAGCTAGAAAGCTTTTATGTTTAACTTTTGAAATGATAATATTTTCTATCCACTTTTTATCGCTAAAGACAACATTAAAGTTAGAACACGATTATTTATTTAAAGTGTAGCAGCCTTTTACTAAGTGCAGCAGTAGTTTACTACTAAGTTTAATGTCCAGTGTAAGAGCCATAATGTGCAGTTTTCTTTTGCAGAACAAAGTGACCACCAAAAGCGGGACTTTGTGGGCCAGTTGGATAAAACATAAGCTCATCTCGCCCCCAAAACCCCGACTCTGGAACCACAACCTTCCAAGATTCAATTTGTAAGTAAAGTATCTTTGTAAGATATGCCCAATCAATTGAGTCATTGCTTACAGAGTGGGTAATTTTCAGACTAATAAAAAGAGAATATTGTAGCCAAGTCACAATACACACTCCTTCATTTTCTGGACAGTGGGAATTACTAAGAGATACTATTTGTTTTTATTCATATTTTATGATTTATTTATCAGGCAGGTAAGAAGCACCTCCTCTAAGTGCCTATAAAATGACATGGAACTCCCCAGAATAACAGTTATTTTTTAGACCCAGCACTCAAACTATCTGTTAAGACTTCTTCTCAAAGTGGGTAACAGATCATTGAATATCTGTTCCCCTGTGTCAGACTAAAGTTGACACATTGTAGAGAAATGCCTGTCAATAGTCTAAATTTCTTATTTGTATGATAAACTAGAAAATATTTTCACTTTACTTGAAAC